ATAGTTAAATAAAAAAATTAAAAGCAAAACATACAAATAAATACTTATTTATATAGAGTTAGATATTTATGGTACTTATTTAAAGTTTAAATACTTATTTTTATATATCGTTTCAAAATAAATATAGAAATAAATATTTGAAGTACATAATTATGTCTCAAATAATTTTATTTGTGATTAATTTGGACATTTGGATCGGTTTTGCAAATTTTTCGGTTTTTCGAGCTTTGAGTTCGTTTGATAACACTTCGAGTTCAGATATGATTTATACCATCCTACAAGACCTATTCTGGTTTTTTCTTTTTTACATTTTGGACTGGGTACATATCGTGTAAAATTGGTTTATTGAACCATATTCACAAATTGTTTGTCTCCCTATACCTTTAAGCCTATTGATTTTGTCTCAATATACTTTTGGTATTTTTAGTACATAATTAACTCTCTAACTAAATAAATAACATAATCTTATTAATTTTAAATTTAATTATATTTATTTTTATTAATTTTATTTATAAAAAAACTTAATAATTACATATTTCTTAGTTTCATCACAATAACTTAAATTTTTCTCTTAGCTTTTGATTCACCTTTTTTCTAGTAACATTTGAGTTTCAAATCACTTTTATCATCTATTCTAATTGTTTTCAGTGTTTATAATAGTTTTTTATTTTGCTAAAAGACACGGAAATAGTTGAATTATACACACTGTGATATTCCGTAAATTGAGCACCAACAAGTATAAACTGATTCCAAAAGTGTCACAACCAAAATTATTTTTAGCCAAACACATCTGAAACTGAAAAGTAAACAATAATCAATATCATGCTTTAGTAAACGCCGTTCAATTTAAATTCTAGAACAAGATAAATTTGACTAAAACTAGTTAAGATTGGTTCGTAAATTTTCTCATATTTTAAATATAAAATAATCAAAAATGTAAAATACATATTCTAAATAAGATAAAACACAGACTAAAGGTTATAATACGAGGTCCACCTTGTTTAGAACATATGATATAGGTAAGAACAAAATGTTCTATCTACGATATATTATATAATATATGATAGAAAAGAAGTAAAGGTTTTTTAGATTTTTTTTACAATGAAGTAAAAAAACCTTATACATTGTATTTTAGAAATAACAAAACGTTTTGGTTAGAACTGAGTCACACATATTCTATATTTACATACATCATATTAAGTATTTACAATACGAATACTAAATTTTATAAAACGTTAAAAACAAGTTAGAATGTGTATTTTATCTTTGTAAAAAGAGTAATAATATAAATTCTAACAAATTTAGATTAATACATCCATTTTTTCTTGAAATTTAGTTTTTTTCAATTTGATTTTTCATATTTTTTTGAACCGATATCATTTTTATAATCAGTTTCATTATTATAAGGACAATTATGTCCAAAACTAACCAATTAATGCAAAGGTATAAAGGGACAAAAAATATTTCATTATGGCTAATTTTTCCTATTAAATTAGCTAATCAGGCCATATGGGAATGTACTTGTCCCCTTGAACCTTTGAGTCTATAAGTTTGTCCAACATACCTTTGATTTTTAAAATACGAAATTAACCCCTAGTTTAACAAATAACATAATTTACGTCAACTTAAAATAATAATCATATTTTTACTATTATTTTTTAATAAAAAAAGGAAATAACCTTTTTGGTTAAAAAACCTTAAAATTTATTTGTGTGGTATCCGGCGCTCTCTAGCGCTCACTCCGGCTCTCTTAGGGTGCTCTTCGATGTTCTTCTCTAGCTATCGAGCCCCACAGTGCCTTCTCTTTCATATATTCATCTGAGTTTCTTTTTTCTTTCTAGCTCTTTTTACATAGTCATCTTTAACATATTTCTATGTACACTGTAAATTTCAACGTTATTCAATATATTTTTTTGTCAAAAATAAATAAATTTGAATAAAATTAAATAAGACTGCTTCCTAGATTTTCTCAGATTTAAAAACATAAAATAACCAAAAATATATAATACATATTCTAAATCGGATAGAACACAGACTAAAAGTTATAATACAAATTCTAATCCTTTTAGAACATATGATAAAGGTAAGAACAAACCTAGAATATATATTATATGTTAGAAATAACAAAGTGTTTTGATTAGAACTGAGACATGCGTATTCTATATCTAGATAGATCATAGATATGAGTTTAAAATACAAATACTAAATTTTGTAAAATGTTGAAAGCAAGTTTGAATGTGTATTGTATCCTTGTAAAAGAGTTATAATATACATTCTAACAAATTTATTTTGAAATTTAATTTTTTATATCAAAACATATAAAATATTTTTATTGTACTGAATTTTTCATCTTTTTATGTTTTGTATAAATTTTAATAATTATTTTCATTATTATGAGGGTATTTATGTCCAAAATTGACTAATTATTGGAAAGGTTTAAAGGAATAAAAACATTTTCAATATAGCTCATTTTCCTAATTTTTAGGTTCGGTTCGGACATTGGGTTACAAATTTTATGCCTAAATTTATTTTAAATAAAAAGAAAATGTAATTATATAAAGTTTTCATCGAAAATGTATCCCATATTTTTAAAGCGCGGGTCAAAATATAATTTATTTATTATTAGTGAATACAATATACAAAATTATGTCAAAATACATGATATGTTATATGACAAGATATTTTCAATTTTAGTATACAAAATTATTACTTTTATGTTATATTACACATATTCGGTAGTTTATTTTTTCATTGGTTGAATTCTGGTTACGTAGATAATTAATCATGTTTTTTGTTTAGAAAATGTAGAAAACTAAATATTTTGTTTATCCTTATGCTTAGTTCTAAACGAAATCTATTAAAAATGGAGGAATGATTTTCATACGAGCAACAAAGATGTTGGGTACAAAGTATAAAGGAAGAAGACTTGTCCTAAATCGGCGAACTTGTACATTTTTCTTTCAATCCCTTGTTGTCTATGTACTGAACTAGAGTGCTAGGATGTTCTTACAACTGGACTAATAAGTTCAGTACCAGCTTTGGAGGTGTGCTAGCTATGCATTTGCACAGGCCCCCTTTTTCTTTTAGTTAATTATCTTTATATTTTAGGGTCCTAAAATTTTGATTCTATAACAAAAGATCTTACACTTTTGATTCATAAAAATGTCTTGGATTTTTTTTAATTGTGCACAGGACTCAATTAGAATTTGAGCCAGGCCTCAATAAGTTTCATATAGAAGAATTTAAAAGAACTGATTTGTGTATCTATGTTATCTAAGTACACTTATCTATTCAATTACACATGCATTTAAAACTCTAGGGTTAAGTGTGATTTAGCTGGAAATCTTGAAATGATGAATGATATACTAGGAAGTCATGTGTGGCACTGTGTGAATGAGGTCAAAACCTGAGAAAATATCACATGGTGATTGCATGGACAATAAAAAAGACTTTCGAGCCTCTAAAAAATTAAAACACCACCCAGCGTACGGATGACCACGGGCCGAGTGAGAAGGTGTGAAGATCCATTAGCCGTGGACGATCGGAGTATTACGATTATTATAAGAACTGAAACCAGATGAGTGTCGAGTCATGTGTGAGCTCATAATAAATGGATAACGATCTTGGGGTGCAACAAAAATGTTGCGTTCTGTGAGAGATGGTGAATTATAACATTCTAGTTTGTGGCTTATGAAAAAACTTAAGAGAATTGATTTAACTACTTATCTCACCAAAGCGCACTTTCTTTTTGTTTAGAATTCAGGATTAAACGTGTTTTAATTGGAATAATGAAATGATGGGTGACCTATCTGAAGATCCTTCGCGGTATTGTGTGAGTGAGGTCAAAACATGAGAAAAAGTCACATGCTGATTGCAGAGACAATAAACAATAATTTCAAACCTCTAAAACTAAACACATCGTCCGTCGCACAAGATAGAACTGAACGGACATGAAAAATCCATTAACCATGACCACTCATGGAGTTTCATATACTCTTTCCCTACATCACTTGCAAATTAGCAATAGTGAAACTGATCCCAAAAAAACTACTGAATACAGCAAAATATTATAGCTACCTTAAAAATGATTTAATATTAAGAATTTCATCGGTAAAACTTCAAATTCTCTATATATTTTTATGTCATTGACATATGTCTAAATAAATGTAATTAGTTTGTATGATTTTTTTTATGTGTTCTGTTAGATGTCTTATAGACTTATACTATATGGGGGTTATATACAGTAGAAACTTTACAAATTATTATTTGATAATTAATAAATATTATAAATTAAGAATTTTTCTGGTATCAAGTTAGGCTAATTCCAAATATAACACAAACTGGCAAAATAATAAGATAATTTTTTAGAAAAATCTTAAGTAAGTTATGTTCTCATTAAAATTATAAATTAATAATTTAAATCTATACATATTTTATATAAATATGAACCTATCAGTCTATTATTTGTTTTATATATACAATGAAATTGTTTTTATATATATTTTTAATACTTAATATATTTTGATGAGATTTAAAAAAATTATATCTAAAACACATTTAAATTCTTTTTTTTTATAACACTGAACATAGTTAGACAACTAAAAGCACAAAAGAAACATACATATAAAACACATTTAAATTCTATTAAATATATTTTATATACACCAAATTATAATAAACAAATATAATTGTCAAATTTCAAATCAAAAAATTATGTATATAAATTCAGAATCAAATGCTTTTCCTATTTTAAAAAGAAAATATCAGAAAAAAGAAAAAAATAAATAATATATTTATTTTATAAATTAATAACTATCTAAATTAATTAAATACCATAGCTATAATATTATTAGTTTATAGAGTTTTTACATTATATGGTTACCCGAAATGCAAAAGATGTTTGTTAATGCGAAACGCAATTTTAACCATTAAAGCGTTTTGGTAGAGAGGAGATAAAATAAGAAGCAAACAAACATGCACAGAAAAGAAAGAGACAAAGACACGGGAAGAGAGAGAGCGAAAGGATTCGGTCCCTTTTTCTCCTTTCTCTCTCTCGCTCTCATCTTCTTCTTGTGAAATTAAACTCAAACACTTAAGTCTCAAAGAAAAAAAGAACAAAAAAAAAATCTTCAGAGTTTCAGTCTCAGGTGGTTCACACAGTTAATGCCGACTCTTACTTCTTTGCGCCGTTACGCGTAATGGGTCAATCTACAGTCCAATTCCGTAAGTTCCCAGAAACCCCCTTCTCTGTTAAATTCGTTTCCTTTCTTAACAAAATTGAATTTCGAATACATTATCCAGTTTATGAGAACAGCTTTTGAATTTCTCGAATTTCTTAGTGCATTCTCGTTTCCCCCAAAATCTGTAAGATCTTAGTCTTTCCTTAAAGCTATGTTTTTAGCAGATCTGGAACACTAAACCCTAGAACAGACCATTAATGTTTTTTGTTCTGAATAAAATGGATCAGTTTTGATTTGGAATAACTTCCACAAATACTTCCGTTTTGGTAAATTAAGTTTCACTAATTAATGCGACACTTTTCAAGATTTGCCAAATCTGGGAAATGAATGTAGTTTCAAAACTTGTTTTGTACTAGATTTTAATAAATCTTAGAGACTCTTACATCAATTTGTTTGAGGTGATGCTGTTTAAGTTAGGTTCAATTAGAGTCATTTGCTTTTCTTTTTTTTTTGTCAGACTCAAAATTCGTTGGAATGAGTTGTTAGAACTTTGACTTGTCTCCTAAGCTCTTTACTAATCTATCTGTATCATCTTCGCCTGTCTATTCTTTTCATTTAATACAAAATCCACCTACATCTTTTGGTCTTCATGATTGCTTCTAACATGGTAGCAACTCTTTGTATAACAATAATTTATTTTATAAACACTAATCCTTGCCCACATTTTTCTTTTTGATCTATGTGTATTTTGGAAATTAACATAGAGAGTTTAGATTCTTTTCCTGTTCACAAAACATATATTCAGGTAGTTCATATTAAAGATGAAAAAAAGTGATCAATTTTGTTTATTTAAAGATGCATGATCTATTTTTATATACTCAAGTCTTGTTTAACTGATTGAAGCCGGCCAAGAGGGATCGGTGTTGACTTTTAAATGAGCTGTTGTGTTTTCAGCAAACTAGAAAAGATTATAAAAAAGTTCTTTTATTTTTTTTTCAGTTTGGGTCTCTTAAGTTTTATGAAAACATAATGTGGCACAGAGCTCTTTGCTTGTGTACCTTTCAGAATATGATATTGATTGATGCTTACATATAGGATAACCTCTACTGAGGCATCCGATGTTGAAGGGAGAGGTAGAGCCTAAGCAGAAGAAAGGTAAAGTCTTTATCTGAAAGACATGTGGTTAATGTGAACATTGGAGATTGTGTTCTACTTTTCTTCTTCTTCATAGCGAATCTAATATTTGAAATTCGGATTATCAGGTTGGTCAAACTCGCTACTAGAGTTTCGATCAGGGTTTGGGGAAAAGATGAAACTCGAGTCAAAGACAAGTTGGAAATCTCTTGGACCTCTTAATCTGAAAAGCAAATCAGTTGCGCGGTGTTGTTTCTTTTCGAAGTTGAAGTCAAGCAACCATGGTCCAGACCGTGCACGTGCACCCGTCTATCTCAATGTTTATGACTTGACTCCTATTAACGGATATATCTATTGGGCAGGCCTCGGTATCTTTCACTCTGGTGTAGAAGGTAAGCTTGTGTTGTTTCTTCTTGAGATAGATGGTCGTGTAGTTATACTACTAGCTAACTCTGAACGTTTCCGTTGGATGCACAGTTCATGGAGTAGAATATGCTTTTGGTGCACATGATTATGCAACCAGCGGTGTTTTCGAGGTTGAACCAAGGCAGTGCCCAGGCTTCAAATTCAAGAAGTCGATATTCATTGGAACCACGAATTTAAACCCGGCACAAGTGAGAGAGTTCATGGAAGACACGGCTTGCAGTTACTATGGGAATATGTATCACTTGATTGCTAAGAACTGCAACCATTTCTGCCACGACGTTTGCTACAAGCTTACCGGCAAAAAGATCCCAAAATGGGTGAACCGCCTCGCGCAAATAGGTAAAACAGAGGTTCACTGCATTTTCAAAATCGTCAACGGCTTGTGTCAGGTGATTAAAACTACAAGTTGTGGTTTCCTTGTAGGTTCTGTGTGTAGCTGCATACTTCCAGAGTCACTCAAGATCACAACGGTTAGTCATGATGATCCGGAGGGGCAGATCCCAGAGGAAGAAAGCGAAAGGAAAAGTCTGACAAGCTCATTCAGCTGTTTGTCTTCCATCTCCATGAGACAAAAACAGCTTTCAACATCATCTTTGCTGATACAATCACCTCTCAGAGGATGCTTACCTCCATGGCAACTCAAACGATCAAAATCTGACAGCAGTTCCTTGAAAGGAAGGTAGAGACAACATTCCCACATTTCTCTTCTCTTCTCTTGTCTTTGTAAGAGAGTTAGAAAAACAGGTTTCGTTTTAACAAGCCCATTCTTGTTTCTGTTTCGTTTGTATTTTATTCAAAAAATTTGAAACCCCATTTCTACTTTAACAGTGAATCAAAAACGTTTAGTGTTGTAACGATCAGATAAAAAAAAAAAAAACCGAGAAACCTTTATTAAATTGTGATGATCATAATCAACAAGAGACCCAGTTCTTATGAGTACTGATAATAGCTGAAAACAAACCTGCTGAGGCAATCACACTCGGAGCTGATAGCACTCCTTGACCATCCCTTAGATCTGCGATCGTCATCAAACCATCAGCAAGATCTTGAAGAACGGATAACATCTTCAACGTCTTCTTCTCCTTGAGCTTCCTCATCTTCTCCTCTTCACCTTCATAACCAATCCCTCTCGTAACAGAGATCTCGATGGTCGACGCAATACAAACTTCCTCTTCTTTAATCTTCCTCAAATCCCTAAGTTTCAACGAAACACTCCCAACGTATCCCACAAGCTCCGCCCACGCACTCATCTTCTGCAGCCACTTGGCGTCGATGAGCCCCGATTTCGATAACCAGATGAACTGCTCGACGAAGTAGTACAATCCTTCGCCTCCGTAGGCGAGTATGAGCAGCGCCAAGTCGCGATTCGAGTCCCATCGCGAGGATCTGAGCGCGTTGATGTCTTGTACGAATTTGCCGAGACGGAAGGCTTTGCGGCTGACTCCGACGCTTGATTCGAAGGATTTGAGACGGTGAGTTAAGGGATTGGTTTCTGGGAGGAGGGATGATGCGAGGAGGATCTTGGTTGTGTAACGGCAGATCTTCAGGAGCTTGTCTACGCCATCCCTTTTGGCGAGGTATGTTTCCAGATGGTTTAGGAAGTCTTTTGGTTTTGGTTTGGGATTTGCCATTCTTTTCTCTGGAGGTTTGGCTTCCATGGAGACTAGATTTTGGTGAATTTTCTATTCGGCACGCAAAGAAAGAAGGACAACATGGGCTGGACAATCGAAACTTTTTTTGTTTCCTAAAAAATATACCCAAACGGGAAAATTGCATCTTTAACACAAAATAAAACTATAATTCATTCTCTAACGCTTTGACCTAATTCTCACACATATGGTTTGTATTTTCTATAATAATACTGTTATATACTTTCAAACAATCGGTTCAACCTGCAAAAGAAAACAAAAATTAATTATTGATTATTTATTCGAAAATTTAAAACATATCCATTCATTTATTACACACAATTAAAGAAAATATTTTTTAGTTGGAAAAGATTTAAAAAATATAAACAAGTTTTCTCAAAATTTTGAGCGATCTCAATGGTATCAACTAGTTTAAGCACAATATATTTTTTTCCTTTTTCTATGATTTCAAAGCCACCAAGTACATCCCCATCGACAGATTTTGGTGGAGTATGTCAGTTGTCAACTCTCCCTCGGAGAAAACACCAAATGATTCGATTCTGAAATCTAAAGTCTACAACGACAGCGCAGCTCTATGCATCCATCTTCCTAATATGAAATTTGTCACTGAATGAAGACGAAACGTAAAAGCCTGTAAATTCTGATTTCAGGTTCGAAGAGAGGAAGGAGATGAACACTGATATATTTCTATACTATTTTATGAAAGGAAATAAATGATCTTCTCTTAAAATTTGAAAAATGAAAAATAAGATAAATTGCATCCTATAACGTTCAAACAAATTATAATTCACTATATAGCAAATTTACCTAAGTTCTTCACATACAGTATATTTTATGTGTAATAATGCGATTATACCCTTATAATCAACCGGCATAAATCTTAGTTAATACAATATGTCAAATCTTAGTTAATACAATATGTCAAAATCAATGTCAATTACTTAATTTTCATTTCCATTTTGGTTTCAGCAAATTAACGTATAAGGAAAATTGCATCATATAATGTTCAAACAAATTATTATTCACTCTATAGCAAATTTACCTAGCATCCTTACATATAGTATATATTATGTGTAATAATGCGATTATACCCTTATAATCAACTGGTGTAACCTGAAAATATTTTCCATTTAATTTAATATTTCTAGAATGTAAAAACATAAACGTGGCTATTTATTATTCACATTTACCTTCTGAGGAATTGAATCGTTTGATTCTCAGATTTGAGAGAGGGCGAGGAGAAAGATACGATTGTCGGAGTTAATTTTTGCAGCATTATATCGTTTTAGCATTCTTGGTGGGTGATTGAAGGGGAGGTTTCTCCAATTGTGAAATTGACTGTATATTGTCTGACAGAAGAGGAGAGGCAGCAACGTGAAGTAACACTGGCCAATTCGAGTGTGAAGAAACGTCTTGAAGAAGATAAGATAAAATATGTAGGTTTGGATTGTTATTTATACTTCTATGTATCTTATCTTCTCCAATTCTTCCATTTATTTCCGCTTTAAATACAAGAATGAGGCTTTCACCTTTCGCTCATATGTTCAGTCAATTATATTTTATTTCTTTCTGACCATCAAAGTCAGTTCAATATGTTTAAAAATATGAAACTACAGTCTTTCTATATTGAATGTGAGATTATCTATATTTTTCAACACAGTCAATCGAATGTTTGTGTTGTCAATATCATGAGTGCTTCAGTATGTCTTATGTCTATTCCATATGATGATTTACTACATCACACTAATTAAATGGAATAGATTAGCAAAATTACAGTCCATTCCTTGGTACATATGAGATTCGGTAATGAAAGGTTTGTATTCTTTTAATATTGTACATACAAATTATACTAAACTTTTCTCTTCGATTCTATGCATACTATGTATTAAATAAATATAATAGTATAATACAATATTCGTAAATAGAATAGATAGTTACAATATGAAAATTACATTTGAGTTTCTTCTCATTTTTGTACGCTTTCTATATGTTTGATTACATAAAACTTGTTTTTTCTTCTATAATTTTTGTTATATAGCTTATCATTTCCCTTCTTTGTCTCATGTGTGTATTGGAATACTTAGTGCTACCAAGTAGGTTGTTTGTGACTGGCTTTTAGCACGCTGGTCGGAAACAAGTGAATAACTATTTCAACCTCCGTTGGATTGATCTGATAAAGACTGCCTTTGAGGACGAAGAACTGGCGAGGTTGAAGGTTTCCCAGTTTGGGAGAGTATTGTAGTTGGAATCTCATACATTATATATATTTTGTGTTCATTACCTTCTCTCCCGATAATTGACTATTTAAATAGAATAATGTCTTACGAATGTAATAGAATAGTACATGTTTGTGCACAATAGAATAACCTCATCTAACCTCATGTATAGTTTATACGAAGCTATTCACGGTTTATACTAGAAGATCCTCTTCATTTATGTGAATAAACTACTTTATATTTCTATTCTTCCAAACAGTTTACTTGCAATATTCTGACAAAATGTCATTTGGCCTTTGTAGCATAGTAAAGAGACTACTTTAACCCGGTTTATATAAATAGTTCATGATGTTGTTTTTCTCTTCATATGGAGTTGCTTTTTAAATTGCATGTTATTCTATGTTTATAGTAGAATGGTACGTGTTCATCCATAATATAATACCACAATGTCGACTCATATTCCTTTCATTGTATGCTACATACAAATTATACTAGACTAACCTCTTCGTGTCTTTGTATACATAATAGAATAACACCATTGTGACACATTATTATTACAAAAAAATCACCTTGTTTTGGCAATTTTACTATTGTAATTAGAATAGTCCAACACAATTTTCATATATAAAATATAGTTTTCATATTCGTCTTCCATGTATCGGCTTATCATTTAATTACTTATTTTTTTGCAATTATATACATTTTATATTTTCACCAAATCGTACTATGCTATTTATTTTGTTCTATTATATTAGGTTTAGAGTTTATATTTGGATTTATGATTTATATTTGCATTTATAATTTAGTGATTAGGGTTTAGTATTTAGAGGTTGGGGTGAGGTTAGGATAAAGTTTATTATTTAAGGAGAAGGGGTTAAATAGTGTTTTGTACTATTTTGGTGATATGGACTAGAACATTTCAAAACTTTTAACTTATGCATTTGTGCTTCTCGGACTTGCAATCTATAAATGGAATACATTTTTTCAAATATTCTATTTTTATCCACTCATTATTGTATATATTAAATAAATGTATCACGTGAATATTGATATTACGTGTATACGCATACCAATTAACCTAATGTGCACACTACCACAATCGAATGGTATGTCGATGTAGCACTTTAGGATGGAATCCACAGAGACCAAATCTTACCCTTTTTTTCTATGGGATCAATACGTAGCTAAAGACAATGATGGGCTTTGAGTTTTGAGGTAGCGTAAATAAAAAGTAACACGAATTGAATTAGGTTTCAGATTAAAAAGAATGCTAGCCTAGGGTGGTTTGATTATACAAGTGTGAGCCAAACAATTATTCAAGTTCAATTTAGTACAAGTCTAGAACTCGGATCACTTAAGATAGATCACCTTTTGTCAATCGATCTCAGTACCTAAATTGTCGTTTGGACTAAGATGCAATGACAAACATTAAGATCAAGTCTGATATGTCCACAAAACACCATAATATCTACTTTCGTTGATTAGGGATGCAATGCTCATTCATAACAGATCTAGAAACCTATTACACGGTTAATGAACAGGTTAAACCTAGGATCTAACAATAAGTGGCCAGTTTAATGCAAGCAATATGAACAAGTATGAATAAAGACAATTGATTTTTACTTATCTATGTTTAGCTCACGAATCTAACACCTCTAACACCCTAGACTAAACAAGCTGACTAGTCAGCCATGAAGAAAGAAATCACAGAGACAGAGATAGAAAGAAACATGAAATATGACTGAAATAAGTAATAGGGTTCATGGGGTTCTTCTCTAAATTAAGAGAGATGGCCTTCTCCCTTTACAAAGTAGCAAAAATCTCAATCTCCAACTCTAGGGTCTGGTTTTCTTCTCTACAAAAATAGCATAGAATCATAAAGAGAAACAGAAAAAGATGATATATGAAAGTTACTACCGGGTTGTTCCGCTCATTAAAATCTCCAAATTGCACTCTTTTGCTCCAACTGGTCCATCTCCCATCCAATGCAACTCCATACTTGTAATGACTCGAAAAGGACTAGAAAGACTCGATAAAGACTTGAAAACCAATTAGAAAACAATGTTAGAATGTGCCAAAAACACAACATATCAATTCTCCCAGACTTAGATCCTTGTTTGTCCTCAAACAATGTCAAGTATCAAGAACAGGGAGAAAGGTTTGAAAGTGTGGGAACTCTCTTATGGCTCAGCAACCATACTTTAACCACGAATCTCTGAACCTTACCAGCAGACATACTAGGACGACACACCCTTACCAGAACCCCACTGACTGCTGTTCAAATCGGCTCCATACTCTATATCTCAAACCTGAAAAAGTCACACTTTCCAGACAAAACTCCTTACATTCATTTAAGAGCAGTGTGAGCTTCTTGTCACAGGCATTATTCAAAGTATACGGTCTAGGTGTGAGACAGGCCTTTAAAGTGTTTAAAGGGAGCTAACAAGTGCTTAGGGTTTACCATATCTTTGTAGAGGATGCAGGATATCACGCAAAATTGCAAGAGAGGATGAATGCATTGATCTCCACAAACCCCACTCGTTTTCTCTGCAGAGCAGTCGCTTATGGTTCCTCTTTTCTTTGACAGATTGCTTCCTTTTTCCAGATCACCCTTGTTCACACTGTTATCTTCTACTTCAGCTTTTGTTTCTCTGATCGACCAGGGGCACTGTTTTCCTTTTCGTTCTTCTCCTTCTCATCATCTTTTAGAACCCTTGAAAATTAAATGAAACTTTTTTTTTTTGAAAAGGTAAGAGTTCATAAGATGATGATGATGACGAGAATGAGGTAATTACATATGGTGTGCCCCTGGAGGTTCTGATTTCATCTTTCATTTCACCATTGTGTCTTTCTGTTCGGACCACTCTACTGACTGCTCTCTTCTTTTTGAATCATGTACACCCTTGCTCTGAAGTGTGTTCTGCAAGCAAAACGAGTGAGGGTTGT